GAGGATGAGGCCAGTCTCTTCTCCGTGGTGCCCAGCAACAGGACAAGAGGCAATGGGCAGAAACTGAACCACAGGAAGTTCCATCTGAACCTGAGAAAAAACTTCTTCACTGTGAGGGTGACAGAGCATTGGAACAGGTTGCCCAGAGGGGTGGTGGAGTCTCCTTCGCTGGAGATATTCAAAACCCGTCTGGATGTGATCCTGGGCAATATGCTCTAGGTGACCCTGCTTGAGCAGGGAGGTTGGACTAGATGATCTCCAGAGGTCCCTTCCAACCTAAACGATTCTGTGATTCTGTGATTCCCATCCCCTAACAAATAATTTATTTAAAGAGCTTTTGGTTAGGGACTTTTTGTAAACTTTTGGGAAGTCTACAAATCTACTTTTTTGAAATGGATCACCTTTCCCACATGCACAGTCATCCCTTCAAAAGTCTCTTGAAGATTAATGAGGTGTGGCTTCCTTCTTTTCCGTCATCTTGTATCTCCGTTGATCGTTATTTTCTTCTTTGCTGTCATAATTTTAACTAATTTGCGCTCTGTAGAGGTCGGTTATTACTGGTCTGCAGTTCTCTGGAGTCCTTCTAAAAGTGGGCATCCCATTTGTTGTGTTCCAGAAGTCCCATTGCCAGCAGACTTCTTTTATTAGAAATTGTCTAAGGCTTTTCTGGGAAAATTACCTTGTTTGTTGTTGTTTAACATACTGGTTTGTTTTAAAGCCTCATATCCTTACACAACTTGAGAAGTTTTCTTAACTTGTCTCCAGTAAAGAAAGCCTTGTACGTGGAAAGTTCAGTAAAATTTTCCGTGAAGAACAGTGATAAAAGTAATTGTTGCAACTTCTCCATTTGTAGCATACCTTTCTGGTCTGCTTTTGTGTTGTGTTGCTGAGTTACTTGAGACTTGTTTGTAATTTTTATTTTATGCTATATCTTCACGTTGACCCTGGTGTCTCTGAAATAGTCATATTTGTAAGCCTTTCTAATGCACACAAATGGAAATAGACATTGTATCGTTTCTTCTCCGCACACTCTGACTCTATGTGCTGCAGAGCTTATGAGCAGCTGAATGTGAAGCGTGAACCTCTCCGGCTCATTCAGCCTCAGTTTGAGACTCCACTACCTCCTCTTCAGCCAGCTGTAAGTAATCTCTTTGCTAATAGGTAGAATCCTTGTTCTGGCATGTGGAATCCTCCTTTCATATGTAAAACCTCTGTGCATCTTTCCATAGTTCTCAGAGTCTTTTGGGGGGGGGGGGGGG